GGGGGGACTTACTATATGGGGAATGAATTACTATATGGGGGACTTACTATTGGGGGGGATGAATTACAATATGGGGGTCTTACTTATGGGGAATGAATTACTATATGGGGGACTTACTATATGGGGAATGAATTACTATATGGAGGGACTTACTATATGGGGACTTACTTTATGGGGGACTTACTTTATGGGGATGAATTACTATATGGGGGACTTACTATATGGGGAATGAATTACTACTATGGGGGACTTACTTTATGGGGAATCCAGAATTACTATATGGGGGACTTTTTGAATTACTATATGGGGGACTTACTATATGGGGAATGGTGTTGGGGGTGGGGGGTTGGGTGGTGTGGTGGGGAATTACTATATGGGGGACTTACTTTATGGGGGAATGAATTACTATATACTTACTATATGGGGAATGAATTACTATATGGGGGACTTTACTTTGGGGAATGAATTACTATATGGGGGACTTACTATATGGGGAATGAATTACTATATGGGGGACTTACTATATGGGGGACTTACTATATGGGGGATGAATTACTATAGGGGGGATAATTAATATGGGGGATGAATTACTATGTGGGGGATGAATTACTATGTGGGGGATGAATTACTATGTGGGGGATGAATTACTATGGGGGATGAATTACTATATGGGGGATGAATTACTATATGGGGATGAATTTACTATGTGGGGGATGAATTACTATATGGGGGATGAATTATATATGGGGATGAATTGCTATATGGGGGACGAATTAGCTATATGGGGGACGAATTGCTATATGGGGATGAATTACGTATATGGGGGATGAATTACTATGGGGGATGAATTACTATATGGGGGATTAATTACTATGCTTACTATGGGGGAATATTTACTATACTTACTATGGATGACACATACACATCATTCATCTACTCTTGGTCCGGCCCCGGGTCCAATATATGAACCCATTGCGGCCCTCAAGTCAAAAAAGTTTGCCCACCCCTGGTCTATATCCTGCTTTTTTTGTATTGTAGGTCTATATCCTGCTTTTTTTGTATGTAGGTCTATTATATCCTGCTTCCACACATAAAGCGTGTTACAATGCAGGTCCTCAGAAGAAAGTTGTTTGATTTTTGGTTACGGATCTGAAGGCAGTGCATGCTTATGTCCCAGTCAAAAACAACACACCTGCATTCAGATCCAGAAACAAAAAACGCTTAGAAATGCATTTTTTTTTACACACATGTGCTCTAAATATGGTTAGTGTATCAAAGACCTTAAAGCATAAGTAAAGGCAAAACTTTTTTTTTTTTCCATTTTGGATAGAATGGTGAGAGATCAGAACACCTGTTAGTTTTTTGACTCTGTTAGGGAGATTCACCTTCTTTTTTTGACCTGTTTACCTTTATCACAAAGAGTGAACGTGAAAGAAAATCCCAATGTTTGGGTTGTCACCAGAACAGGAATATAGGGGAAATCTTCCAATGAGTTCTGGTGACAACCAGGAATTTCCAACACATTGGAGAGATTTCCTCTCACTTCCTGTTTTGGCTATGCGACAGGAAGTGAAGGGAAATCTCCCTAATGAGACACAGATGGCAAAAACCTGACAGGGGTTCTAACTCTCCATATGGCTGCTGATACATGAGCACCTCTGACTCTAGCGAACCTGCGGTGGATAATTTGTCAGCATCGGCAAGATCACTAAGAAGATGCCTGTTTTGTACTTAAGGAATAGCTCCCTCTGTACCTGAGGGGTGATGCTCCTATGGCTAGTGATTTAGATTACAACAGAGTATACATTTCAAATTTCACTCAGTGTCTACCCTTGTCTGTTCAACAGAAGCTGCTTTAATGATCGGCATCTGTCAAACAGTCCTGTTGGAAAACCAGCATTTGATCGGCTGCAATGCTGATCTGTGTATTCTGATGGGAAGGGGGGGGATTGGGGATTCCCCTCTGTCAGAATACAATAGCAAGGCGGGGGAGATCCCTGCATCCATATCACTTGTGTGGATGAAGTGATCTACCATTTTTTTTTATTTTGTTCAACCTGTTGGTTGAATGATAAAAACTCAAAGTGTATACTCTACTTAAAGCTAGGTTCACACTATATGTGGGTGCAGGACCACGTGCAATTGTACACCCCCCCCCCCCCCCCATCTGCATCAACAATGCAATGCTATAAGCAGATGCACAGGGGTGCCATTCATTCTTAAAGGCACCCCACACACACTGGAAACCTCAGCATTTCCCAGCAGCTGGATTTTTGGAACCTGCATTTTCCGTAGGTACAGCAGCCCCTTCAAAAACCTGACAGACTGGTTGTACAGAAGTCAATCAGTTAATCAATTTCTGTACAACCAGGGTGCCCATACATGGATTGAAATTTGGCTGGCACCTGCTGGTCGAATTTTGATCCACCTATGGCCAACTTAAAGCAGAACACCGGGCATATGTTGTTATCTCCCTTGCAGTGGGGCTGTGCCTGCACCGCATGGGTTAACTGCTCATTTTGTCTAGGAGTGAAAAGAGAGTCTATACTCATCCGATCCTTTGGAAAATGGAGCTCCCCATGTCCAGTGGAGGACAATAGGAACAGTCCACATGTCCAGAGCCAGTCTTTGAGTGTAATGACATCAGTAACAGTCCACCACATAAGAGTGCTAGACCGTGGGGGGTAGGGACCAGTCCTGTGCTAGGAGTATCAGATTAGGTAAGTATATCTTGGCCCTCCAATCTCCTAGTCCAGGGGTCTCCAAACTGTCAAAACAAATGGCCACTTTACTGCCCTTCAGACCGGACTATGTCCAGTCTGAAGGGCAGAAATGCCCTGGAGTCAATGGGGCAAAATGCCCTGGAGTCAATGGGAGTAAAGAGTGCCCTGTCATTGGTATTAGTGGGGGGGGGGGGTGAAGGGGGTAATACTGCCCCATTGTTGTTATCATGGGAAGGAATACTGCCCCATCATTGGTGTCAATGGGAGGAACAGTGCCCCATCATTGGTGTCAGTGGAAGAAGCAGTATCCCCTCATTTGTGAGATCAGTGAAAGGTATAGTGTCCCATCATTGGTATTGGGGGGGAAGGGAGTATTGCCCCATTGTTGGTATCATGGGAAGGAATAGTGCAGCATCATTGGTGTCAGTGGGGAGGAATAGTGCCCCATCACTGGTGTCAGTGGGAAGAAGAGTGCCCCATCATTGTTGTCAGTGGAAGGAATAGTGCCTCATTATTTGTGTCAGTGGGAAAAATAGTCCCCCATTGTTGGTATTGGGGGGGGAGGGAATATTGCCCCATTGTTGGTATCAGAAAAAGGAATAGTGCCCCATCATTGATGTCAGTGGAAGTAATAGTGCCCCATCATTGGTGTCAGTGGGAGGAATAGTGCCCCATCATTGGTGTCAGTGGAAGTAATAGTGCCCCATCATTGGTGTCAGTGGGAGGAATAGTGCCCCATCATTGGTGTCAGTGGGAGGAATAGTGCCCCCATCAGTGGTGTCAGTGGGTGGAATAGTGCCCCATCATTAGTGTCAGTGGGAGGAATAGTGCCCCATCATTGGTGTCAGTGGGAGGAATAGTGCCCCATCATTGGTGTCGGTGGGAGGAATAGTGCCCCATCATTGGTGTCGGTGGGAGGAATAGTGCCCCATCATTGGTGTCGGTGGGAGGAATAGTGCCCCATCATTGGTGTCGGTGGGAGGAATAGTGCCCCATCATTGGTGTCGGTGGGAGGAATAGTGCCCCATCATTGGTGTCGGTGGGAGGAATAGTGCCCCATCATTGGTGTCAGTGGGAGGAATAGTGCCCCATCATTGGTGTCAGTGGGAGGAAAAGTGCCCCATCATTGGTGTCAGTGGGTGGAATAGTGCCCCATCATTGGTGTCAGTGGGAGGAATAGTGCCCCATCATTGGTGTCAGTGGGAGGAATAGTGCCCCATCATTGGTGTCAGTGGGAGGAATAGTGCCCCATCATTGGTGTCGTGGGAGGAATAGTGCCCCATCATCGTTGTGTCCCCATCGTTGGTGTCGGGGAGGAATAGTGTTCCATCGTTGGTGTCAGTGGGGAATAGTGCCCCATCATTGGTGTCAGTGGAAGGAATAGTGTTCCATTGTTGGTGTCAGTGGGAGGAATAGTGCCCCATCATTGGTGTCGGTGGAAGGAATAGTGTTCCATCGTTGGTGTCAGTGGGAGGAATAGTGCCCCATCGTTGGTGTCAGTGGAAGGAATAGTGTTCCATTGTTGGTGTCAGTGGGAGGAATAGTGCCCCATCATTTGTGTCAGTGGAAGGCTTAGTGTCCCATCATTGTGTCAGTGGAAGGAATAGTGTTCCATTGTTGGTGTCAGTGGAAGGAATAGTGTTTCCATTGTTGGTGTCAGTGGAAGGAATAGTGCCCCATCATTTGTGTCGGTGGAAGGCATAGTGTCCCATCATTGGTGTCGGTGGAAGGAATAGTGTTCTGTGTTCAGTTGTTGTTGGTGTCAGTTGGAGGAATAGTGCCCTATTGTTGGTGTCAGTGACAGGGAATGATGCCCCATGTTGGTGTCAGTGACAGGAATGATGCCCCATTGTTGTGACAGGAATGATGCCCCATTGTTGGTGTCAGTGACAGGAATGATGCCCCATTGTTGTTGGTGTCAGTGACAGGAATGATGCCCCATTGTTGGTGTCAGTGAAAGGAATAGTGCCTTGTATCAGGGGGTGACAGATAGTGTGCCAAGGGCAAGCAAAGGGCTGTATCATCCAAGGGCAAGCAAAGGCCCCTCTTCCTTCCCTAGACAAAAATGAGCAGTTAACCCGTGCCCCCCAAAATATGCCCGCAGTTCACCTTTAAGAGCCGGCTATACCCCAGCTGGGTTTTCCCTCCTCTCTTCTTCCATCAGCCTTACTCCATCCCAAATGAAAAGCCAAAGCTCAGCCTTCCACTTGGACTACAGAAGGTGCGCTCCCTGGCAGCGATTGCAAGCTCTGCGGCCCAGTACCTGGAATGGAGGGACTATGCGGAGTTGGAGCTGCTCCTGATCCGGTGTCCATGCTGCTGGACCAGATGCTGCTGTTTCTGTCGGGTAGATTTGACGGCCAGGATGGCTTGTCTGTTCTTGTAGTGCACCATCTGCAGGGTGATCTCGGCGTTCCAGCCCTCGTCCTGCGGGCACCGAAAATCAATCTCCCGGCCCTCGGCCATGACCACCGTGAAGTACACGTACTTGCCTTTCCGCTCCACACAGTCCACCGTCTTCATGTTGGAGAAGTGCAGCTCCTTGATGCGGGCCGGCTCGGGCGGAGGACTGTGCTGCTCCAGCTGTTTGGGGGGGATGAGGAGCAGTCCTTCCTCGGTCAGCAGGCAGCGCTTCTTCTTCCACAGCTGCAGCAAGCCATCGCTCCTCTTCTCCAGGAGTCCTTCCTTCATCACCTTACAGCTGCTCTCCAGCATCCTCCTCACACAGCCAGACCCAGGCGTTCTGCAACTCTTCAGCAGGAGGACGCAATGGGAGACCACCACCTGCAAGGGAAGCATGAACAGTCAGCAGTGACAATGCCCGCCAGGCTGTGCCGACGAAGCGCTGGGCTCACTGTGACGGCATCGGGCAGCAGCTGCAATCCCCTTCGTTCAGTCGTGCTGCTCTGCCTGCCCGCTCCTTTCCCACGCCTGGGACGCTGGCGCCACCTACTGCATGCGCTCGCCTATTACATCCTAGTACACTCCCAGCCAAAGCAAGAGGATTTCCACTTTGTTACATGTTCCCATTCACATAGCATGGTGGAGACCTGCCTGTATTAACCCCTCAGTGCCTAAAGGGAAATCAGTCTTACACTAAGGTCACACCCAGGGGAGGACTGACCATTGGGAAACTCTGGGTCAGTAGGGGGCCCCATGAGATGCCCCTGGTACCTTTTTCATAGGCTTTTTTGAGTTTGGGCAAGGACACAGGGGCCCCATGATCCCCTATTGCCCGGGGGCCCCATGAGTTGTCAGTCAGCCCCTGGTCACACCGTTGCATGCTGGGAATGCGCATGCAATCTCACACATTCCAAATGCACAGGGTTTCCCTTATTTCTTATTGCCAGCAAAATGCCTACATTTTAACACCATGCGATTCTGTGCAGTGAGATTTTTCAAAAAGGGTCTGCGACTTCTTTCCACAGGGTGGTAGGGTCCTGCCCACAGCAGTGGTGTATTTAGTTGTTGTGCTGCCCTAGGCAACACTGAGGCTAGGTTCACACCTATGCAGTTTGCGTTTGATCCGTTTCTGCAGTGCGGTGCGTTTTGCATTTTTGCACATGCGTTTTTGATGTGTTTTATTTTTCCAACTTGTTGCTGGGCAGATTAAAGTGCAAAACGCATCAAAAACACACTATATACATTTTTGGAGCATCTCCGTTGAAGTATATTGAACAAAAAACCCAGCATTTTGAGTTTAAAAAAGCATATATGTGAACCTGTCCCATGAGAAACAATGTTAAATGGACTGTAGTGCATTTCTGCAAAATGCAAAAATTGGGTGCCCCCCAGGCCCCTCCACCACAACTCTCTGCCAAACACCACCCTGTGCCCCTCCACCACAACTCTCTGCCAAACACCCCCCCCCCCCAGGCCCCACCACTGCCACTCTCCACCAAACACCCCCCCCGGCCCCGCTACCATCACTCTTCGCCAAACCCCCCCCCCCCCCCCCCCCCAGCCCCGTCATCGCCAATCTCCTCCAAACACACCTCCCCAGGCCTCACCACCACCACTCTCCACCAAGCACACACCCCCGGGCCCTTCCACTCTCCACCAAACACACCCCCTGGGCCCCGCCACCACCACTCTCCGCCAAACACACCCCCCCCAGTCCCCACCACTACCACGCTCCAACAAACCCCCACCCCCCCAAGCCCTGCCTGCCACCACCACTCTCCACCAAACACCCCCCGGGTCCTGCCAGCTCCACTCTCCAACAAACACACACACCCCCAGGGTCCTGCCACCACCACTCTCCACCAAAGACACCCCCCGAGCCCTGCCACCACCATTCTCCAACAAACATACACTCCTGTGTATATATATATATATATATATATATATATATTTATTAACTGTTTGTATGACTTCTCTTTACAGAGAAATTATGTGGTGGTTGGATCTTCCAACCCCAATCACATGTCTATGGGTAGCCTACAAATCTCTTCCAACATAGTGGTTGCCATGATATCTGGTTAACCTCCTGCTTTTTCCCAATGAGAAGAAAAATAGGTATGTGTGAAGTCTGTATCTAATCCCCTGACTACAAAGATGTGGAGTCCTCTTTAAACTCTTATTTTCTTTGAAATTCTTTAGTCCCCATACACAATATGTAGCAAATTTGAGACCTTATGCGTGTTTTTGCTTGTTATTAGCAGCAACGTGTTGCACAGGAGCATCTTTAGCGCAGGATTTCATGTTATTGGCCCCGTAGACTTATAGGACCTCCTGAAAAGGGTGTGTAACACACGTTTTTGCACTTTTTTGCACAGATAACAGGCACTTTATTTAACATCTATGGAGCCAAACTCACTTCTGCCTCAAAAATAGGAGCTGATGAGTTTTTTTTGAGTGCCCAGCTTTGAGCTACAAGTGACTGAGCGTTCATATGTGAACAGGTATAGTTTAAACAGATGGGAATCTTGTTGAGCATTGTCTTGTGTAAGGAAACATGCGACACAATGCTCTGGTGTAAATGTGAGATTAAGGCTCCACGCACACTGGACATTTTGATAACGCTGGTAACATTAGCTGTGTAAAGTCACGTTAAAAACGTGGGTTTTTCAGCTTTTTTTTAGCGTTTTTGCATTAGTGTTTAGTGGTGTTTTGCCATGATTAGTGGCGTTTTTCTGCATTTTAATGTTTTTTTTTGGTCAAAAAAAGGTCCAAAAACGCCAGTTTGCGGTGTTTTACCATGTTTTGCTGCATTTTGCCAAGTTTTTCAGCATTACAGCATTTTTACAGCAAAAAAATCCTCTAGAAACCCACTAGTTCTGGGGTTTTTTTCAGCCAAAAAACGTCCCAGCCAAAAAACATTGATTATAGTCATGTGTGTATGGACACATAGGATAACATGCTGGAGGGGCAGGGGCGGACTGACCATTTGGAAACTCGGGCACTGCCCGAGGGGACCAGGGTCAGTAGGGGGCCCCATGAGATGCCCCTGGTACCTTTTTCATAGGCTTTTTTGAGCTTGGGCAAGGACACAGGGGCCCCATGATCCCCTATTTCCCAGGGCCCCATGAGTTGTCAGTCCGCCAACTGCTGGGGGGTTTACTGGCTGTAGAAAAAAACAGCAACAGTCCAAAAACAGCAGCTGTAAAAACGTCCAGTGTGCATTAGGACTTAGGGGTAACAAAATTCCTTTAACCTAAGTGGGTGTTAGAAGGAAACACATATAATGCCCTCAAACAAAACCTAATTTTATTGCTAAGTGCCAAGCCGCTGTGTTATATAAAAATCTTTGCTATCAAACAAGTAGCATATGCTTTTCTAACAAATTGGGGTTGATTTACTAAAACTGGATCACTCAGAACCTGCTACAGTTGTACATGGTAGCCAATCAGCTCCAACTTCAGCTTGTTCAATTAAGCTTTGACAATAAAACCTTGAAGCTGATTGGTTTCTATGCAGAGCAGCACCAGATTTTGCACTCTCCAGATTTAGTAAATCGACCTCATTGCATCTTTTTTTTATAACACAACAGCCATCTAACTAGGATCTACTGTATGTAGGCATCTCCGAGGTTACATTAACATCACCTTGTATGCATTATGAGATCAGTTCCATAAAACCCCACAATTTGCTACTTTATAGCTGTGTTACTAATGCATTCAAACCAAAGCTATTACGTCTCCTGCCCTGTATGTTTCATTGGGTAAGTAATGCTAATAAAACATGACTAGGTATGAACAATAGAATTTATGGGATACTTACTTGGCAAGCTGCTCAGTTTGTGAATTCCCAACAGGCGGAGGTATAGATATATGTACCATTAATAACAATGGAAGCCAAATATTATAGGCAACGATGAAATTTAAAAGCAGTACAGCCTTCTCCTTGTGTGTGACTGCAACAGCTGCAATCCTGCACTATGGCTTTTGAAGTAACTCCCGCCCACTGCCAGCAAAGAGCGCAGAGAAAGCAAACCCTGGGATGTTGCAAGATGCTTTAAGCCACAAGACTGGATGTGGAGAGGAAGGAAGAGAAGGAGGGGGTAGAGTGGTAGCAGTCCTATCCTAAGCCATACACCATTCATCATTTCTACACATGGCTTTATTAGACTTCCACGCTGAGAGCAAACTGTACAAGTCGTATAGCATGTGTACACTGTGTTCAGATTTGCTGCTGGCTGAAAGGAGGCTTCTCACTAGTATCTTTATTACAGGGTAGGAAACCCTGAGCATGAGAGCGCTGACCTCAGTGAAAATCATCCCGGCTTTATGAGAAAATTCCTTTTTATTAATAGCTTTTACATCCAGACAAATGTCTCCCCCTCTTAGATCACCTGCATATTTATGTTTGAATTTTTAACTATACTGTAGCACTACCCTCCTGTGGACCTTTGGATTTGTTTTAGGTTCCCATAAGCTCTGCATTTGTCCACACATGCACACATGTAGTCAGTAAACAGTCCTTGAGCTGGTTTTTTGTTGTTTTCATTAAGGGGTTAACAACTTGGAAGGGGTCTAGGGGGTATGCAGGGGTGGACTGACCATTTGGGAACTCGGGCACTGCCTGAGGGCCCGGGGTCAGTAGGGGGCCCCATGAGATGCCCCTGGTACCTTTTTCATAGGCTTTTTTGAGTTTAGGCAAGGACACAGGGGCCCTATGATCCCCTATTGCCCGGGGGCCCCATGAGTTGTCAGTCCGCCCCTGAGTGTATGGGATGCCCAAGGAGCTATAAACTTGAGGACAAACGTCTTAGCAACAATATTGTACAAAAAGCTGGATCAAAAGAAATAGCAACTGTCTCTGGTAGCCTTCCTTTGCACTCTGATTATGTCCATATTTCTGTGCTCAAAGCGGTACATTTTTTTGCATGGAAATATGTATTTTTTTTTTTTTGTAGGCCTGTAATTTTTAGGAATAACTCACTGAAATCTGTCCGAACGAGAGTCTAGTAAACATTGTATGTTAAAATTTGAAACACAAAATCATAAATTATAATTTAATAAGTAATCATAAAAAATAATAATATAATAATAACTAGAAAAGCTACAATTTCTGGGGAAATTGTGTGAAGTATTCTTGCCTCCACCAGTAGTCTACAACTGGAGTGGGCGGAGTAACTGGGTGGAGTGGCTTGTCACTCTGCTGCCTGCTCACACACCTGGGTTCCTATGGCAACTCAATCTACAGCAAGGGCAGAGAAGAGCGGTTAAAAACAAACTGCTCCAACTTGC